CCATCCTGGGGGGCTGGCTCTGCCTCAGTGCTGGGGTGGCCCCCTGGTCTGTCCCCGGGGGATGTTCAGCTGCCGCGGTGGGTGCCAGTGGGTGCCTCGGCGGTGTGAGCGGGGGTTGGGCACACCTGCTGTGTTTACTTGGTAGGGAGTAAGTCCTAGAAAGAGCGAGGCGGTTTGGGAGGGGGTGGGTGACGTGCCAGACGGCAGTATAAAGTCCAGGGTGCCGCACTGCAGGTTCAGGCCACTGTGCTCCCCCAGAGATTTGCCTGTCCTGGAGCTGAGGTGAGAGCCTGGTGGGCATGGTACTGCTGTGTGTGGGGCCGCGTGTTCTCCTGCTGCGAGGTACCGGCAGGTCCAGGGTGGGGGCTGCGAAAGGGCCCAGCTGTGGGCCGGGGAGGACAGAGCCGGGGATGTTGGCCCCCATGGGGGGAGCGGGGCAAGGAGCAGAGTGTGGCCTGGGCACTGGCTGCCCTCCCTGCAGCTTCACTGGAGGGTCTTTGCCCACCACCATTTGTGCCGCTTCAGGTGCTTGCACCCTGGGCTAAGGGGTGGAGGTGGCATTTGGGATGGCATTGTTGCCCCGCCACCGTGCAGGCCCCCAGCTGGTAGGTTTTACTGGATGTGCTGCTCACCACCTGAGGCTGGGTACAAAACCTGAGGAGCATGGCACCATCCCTGCGGGGATGCAGGTGGCTGGGACACCAGCCCGGGGGGACGTGGGCGTGGGGGTCTGCAAACACAGGGGCTGTTGCCCTCACCAGCATGTCCGAGCAGCGGGGCAGTGTCAGTGGCCCCCATCCCTGAGGGGGAGGGAGGAGGAGCTCCCAAGAGGAGTGCAGCTCGCTGCAGCACATGGCTCTCAGCACTGAGCACAGCCCCTGCTAGTGCACAGCCAGTGTCACCCCGGCAGACTCTTCCCCATGTCCCTAACAGGACGGGGCACATGCAAAATGGCTCCAGTGCCCTTGCAGCCATTGCTGCTGGCACCAACCCCCTAGCCGCAGAGCCTCAAGGGCATGGTGAGGCCCACAGGGGCTGTACTCGGTGCACCCAGCCCCACAGGTCATCAGAGACCGCTCAGTGCCGTGCCTGGGAGCAGCCAGACTCCAGCTCCCGTCAGAGCGCCTTGTGCCATCCATGTGGGATGGGCACGCAGCTGGGCTCTGCCATGCATCCTGGGGAAGGGACCCCCAAGCACTCAGGGTCCAGCCTGGTGATGCCCACGGCATGGGTCCTGCTGGGCAGAGTGATGAGCACCCTGCAGCTGGCAGTTGCGGGGGCCACGGCCGTGGTTGGTGCGGTACGAGGTGGGAGTGGGTGTGGGGCTGGGAATGCAGCACACAGGCACTTTGTTTGGCCGGGGTGGGCGGAAGTCAGGGCATTGGATCTGAATGCTAAAGTGTGTTGTTCAGGGGCCGATAAAGGCCCTGTTGTATGTAAATAGTTTATAAAGCAGCATATGACTTCCAGTGCAGGGCAGTGGTGGATAGAGACAAGGGCAGTCAGAGCAGAGCTCTCCTGTGGGAGACATGAGACCTTAGAGGGGCCATTGGGGGCAGCTCGCGAGGACCCTTCCTCACTGGCAGGTATGCACGGCTGGGACCCTCCACACCAGGGGTGGCCAGAGGGCAGGTCCCAGCCTCATGCTCAGAGTGGGAAGCAGCTCCCTGGGGCTGCTTAGTGCCAGTGGGTGGCTGTGGTGGGGTGGGGGTCTGTGCTTGGGGTGCAGGGTGACCGCATGTTCCCATACAGGGACGGCTCTAGGAGGGCAGCAATGCATGGCTGCACAGGGGGTCCCCCCAGCTCAGGGCTCCCCGGCCCCGCTCCTGCAGGGAATGAGGGAATGAGGGCAGGGAGCTGCTGGTGCAGAGGAGCCCATGGAGCTCCTTGGGTCCATCACTAGCCAGAGAGCTCAGCACTGGGTACAGATCAGGGGTCCCTGCAGAGGTGTGGGAGCTTCACCCTCACCTGCTGTGGGAGCCATGGGTCAGGATCCCTGTGCCAGTGCAGGGTGGCAGGGCAGGAGTAGCTGGCACTGCAGGGCCAACCAGTCTCCTGCCTGCTCTGGCCAAAACGCTGCCCTGAGCCATGTCAGCAGTAGGAGCCATGCTGCCATCCTGCTGTCCGTCCATCCTGCTGTCCACCTATCAGGGCTGTGGCAGCCAGTTGCTTCTGGGTCCCTCCTGGGGCTGCTGCCACCAGGGTCAGGATGCAGTGGCTCTCAGCCAGTGGCCCTTCCTGCTCCTAACACTGTCTCTCGCTGCTCGCTCCTGCAGACGTGAGGAACGATGAACTGGGCTGGCCTCTACACGGTGCTGAGCGGGGTGAATCGCCACTCCACAGCCATTGGGCGCATCTGGCTTTCTGTCATCTTCATCTTCCGGATAATGGTGCTAGTGGTGGCAGCTGAGAGCGTCTGGGGGGACGAGAAATCTGCCTTCACCTGCAACACCCAGCAGCCTGGCTGCAACAGCGTCTGCTATGACCACTTCTTCCCCATCTCCCACATCCGTCTGTGGGCCCTGCAGCTCATCCTCGTCACGACGCCGGCCCTCCTTGTGGCCATGCATGTGGCCTACCAGCAGCACCAGGAGAAGAAGCTGCTGGTGCTGACGGGGCACGCGGACCCCAAGCACATGGAGGAGGTGAAGAAGCACAAGATGCGCATATCGGGTTCGCTGTGGTGGACCTATGTCTGCAGTGTGGTCTTCAGGCTGCTCTTCGAGGCCGTGTTCATGTACATCTTCTACATGCTCTACCCAGGCTACCAGATGGTGCGGCTGGTCAAGTGCGAGGCTTACCCCTGCCCCAACACAGTTGACTGCTTCATCTCCCGGCCTACCGAGAAGACCATCTTCACTGTCTTCATGCTGGTTACCTCTAGCATCTGCATAGTCCTCAACATGGCGGAGCTGGTCTACCTGGTGGTGCGGGCCTGTACCCGCCGAGGCCAGCACAACTCCAATCCCCCATCGGGGAAAGGCTCCTTCTATGGGCACAAGCTCTCTGAGTACAAGCAGAATGAGATCAACCAGCTGCTGACGGAGCAGGATGGCTCCCTCAAGGACATGCTGCGCCGCAACCCTGGGCTGCAGGAGAAGGGTGACCGCTGCTCTGCCTGCTAGGGTCAGCACCGTGGGGGCCACAGTCCTTGCCCCCACCCCACAGCTGCCCCACGGCCCTGTCCTGACCCTGTCCCATGGATAGCATCGCTCAGGCACTGGTCCATCCTTCCTGGATGGCCAGGAGGATATCTCAGGCCATTAAATCTCCATTCTCAGGCACTGCCTCCCTCCTTTCTGCTCCAGCTGGGATGTGCCGGGGGCTGGGGTGCCAGTGTGGGGTGCCCACCCCTGCACCCTAACCCAGGGGGGTGCCAGCAGGGGCTGTGGGGGCTGCAGTGTCCAGGCTGAGATAGGGCCATGGCTGAGGTGCCCTGGCAGCTGGCATGCAGGAGCAGTGACTCCTGGGTGGCATTGAGCAGTGTCCAAGGGCTTGCGTTCCCCCAGCACCAGCCCCTGCAGCCCCGAATATATTTAGAAAAGTGCCCAGACCAAAAATAGAGGGAAAAAGTTTCCCCAGTGGCTGCTTCATCTGCCAGTCACAACAAAAGCCAATGGGGCATGCAGCTGCCCAATAAGCCTGTGCCCACTGTCAGGTGGATGGACGAACAGAGCCGGGTGGACCTGTCCGCACCCTGCTGAGGAGCCGGGGACCAGCCGGGAAGGGGCCTCACAGCATCCCGCACCACCCCGCCGAGGAGAGCTGACAGTGCGGCAGCACTGGGCTCTGCCCCACGCACCCACCAACGGTGAGGGGTCCCCATTCCAGATCAACACCGCGTTGTCCCCCACGGTGCTCCCAGCATAGCGGGGCTGCTTTCTGCCAGAGGTCTTTGCTCCTGCTGCCCTCCCCGCGACAGGTTAGGGGGTCCCGTGGGACGCAGGGTGGGGACACTCCAGGGACAGCCCCAGGTTGGGTCCCTGCACACCTGCCTGGCTGGGGGATGGAGTGGCAGTTCGGCGGGTTGGGGGGTGGCCGTGTCTGGAGGGTGGCTGTCTTGCAGGGCACTGGAGCGCGTGCCATGGGGGACTGGAGGCTGCTGGGGCGGCTGTTGGAGAGAGCCCAGGAGCACTCCACAGTGGTGGGGAAGGGCTGGCTCACCGTCCTCTTCGTCTTTCGCATCCTGGTGCTGGGGGCGGCTTCTGAGCGGGTCTGGGGTGATGAGCTGTCTGGCTTCTCCTGTGACACGCAGCAGCCTGGCTGCCAGAACGCCTGCTACGACAGCACCTGCCCCATATCCCACCTCCGCTTCTGGGTCCTGCAGATCATCTTCGTCTCTACCCCCAGCCTCGTGTACCTGGGCCACATCCTGCACTTGGTGCATCTAGAAGAGAAGGCGCAGCAGCAAGTGGCACGGGCTGGCAGCGGGGCCAGGCGGCAGCGCCC